CTGGGCAACAGAGGGAGACTCTGTCTCAACAAAAAAAAAAGAAAGAAAAAAGAACAGAGTGTTAAATTTGATAAACCAAATTTAAAATCAAAAGCTCAAAGTAGCACTTAGTGGTCCTAGTTGAGACAATTAGTCTCAAAAAGATTTTTACAAGAACCTGAAGCAGTGGAAGCTTGGGTGGAACAGGGCTTGGAGACCTTCCTTCCGGGGCCCGTCACTAGTTCTGTTCCACCTGCGCAGACGGCAGCCTGTCCTTGCATTCCCAGCTTGTTAGCGCTAATATTCCAGTGCCCTTTGAGGCTATCCTTCCAGCACGCACTCATGTGGAAACGCCGCTGTGCAAACCTTTCCTCATACGTCATAGAGAAGATGTCAGCCTGACACAGACATATCTAGGGGTGGTGAGGAAGAGTGGTTCGTTTTCAGACCTGTCAGAAAAGCAGCTCTGGGGGGCACTTTGACTGCAGGAGCTGGAAGAAGACTAGCAGCACCACCAGGCAATGGACAAAAACACAGGGCTGGGAAATGTTGTTCCCAGCCAGGCCTGCCTGAGAGCATGGGATGAGTACAGCAGGAGAGATCAAGGGCTTAGGCTCTAGGATCAGGAGAGCAGACCCTGCCTCCTGGCAGGTGGGGGTGGGAGCAGGGCTTTGCTGCCTGCCCTCAGCTTTCTACACCGGGTGAACTCAAGCTCATGGCCGTGAAGGTCATGTCAGAAGTACTTGGAGAAGACAGTGGTTGGCGCATCTAGATCACTGGGATGTGTGGTTGTTGCTGCTGCATAATCTTAGATCCCAAACCCCGACAGACAGTGGGAGAAGGCTGGACTTTTCTTCCCTAACGAGGCTCTCAAGCTTCCAGGTGGTTTCACTGGAAAGGCTCTTCTCACCTCCCCCTGCTCACCTGCCTGCGTCCCCTTGTCCAGCACAGTGCAGCAGCATTGCACGTGCTCAGAGCCTGCGCTGGCTGGGGCATTGTTTGGAGCTGGTGTGACAGGGTGGACTGTGCACAGAGGAGGCCCTCAGGGAAATCTAAGCTTCATTTTCACTATGCCTATAGTCCTGTGATCTCAAGCATGCCACTGCACTGCCCTGGGTCTCTGTTTTCTTGTCTTTCAAATGTTGGAAGTGGAGAAAGTGGCGAAGGGCAATAGAGAGGTAGGAAGGGGAGCCGAATGCTCACTTAGCACAAAGCTCTGCTACAGACTTACATGCCACTCAGAGTTGCTACCCTGACAACTTCATATAACTCCATGGCAGGGCCTCGTGGTTAAGGGTGTGGGCTGGGAAGCCAGGCATCCTCAGCATCGTTCCAATTTTATGCTTCCCAGCGAGGTAAGCTCTCTCAGCCTCAGCTTCCTCAGTTGTAAAATGGGAATAAAATACTACCTTCCTTATGAAGTTCTTGTGTACATATAAGTACACATTAAGTGACAATGTGTACTTATATGTACACAACATCTTCCTCATAGTCACGATGTATTTAGACGTCAAGACAACCTGCTTGAATTTGAATCTCGGCTTAGATACAGTGAGTGATTTGGGCAAGTTATTTAACCTTTAAAGCTCTCGGTCTTCACCTGACACTACAATAATAATCATCGTGCACATATGACGGAGTGGCTTTAGGTGCTAAATGAGGTCATCTACATAAAGCTCCTAGCAAGGTTCCTCAACCTTGTTAGCTCCTTAAGAACTGGATTATTTCCCTGGATGTAGAATCTTCTTCTTTGGGGCGGTGGGGATAGGTGTTTGGTTGGGGCAAAAGGCCATGTCTAACTTGTTAGCAAGAGCAAAGGCATGCAGGGGGATTGTCTTTCAGGAATGAAATTCCTAGTCCCACAGTCAGGCCCTTCGCCCCAGGTTACACATCAGTATCTGTGAGTAAATCACTGATTAACTACAAATTCAGAGTCAGGGACTTTCGCAGACAAGCCTTTCCCTTTCCCAGCCCTGAGCGGCAAGGCCCTCGCTCACGGAAGATGCCTCTAGAGCTCCTACCCTTCCTCCCACCCTCGCCTCAGTGCATGCTTACAGCTTCCCAGTACAAGCCCCAGCTTGGGTTCTACCGGGGAAAGGCACAGCTTCGGGCCCAAGGATATTTGTGCAGGGAGGAGGTGGAAGCAGTTTCTGGAGCTTGATTCATTCAGCAGCAATCTCGGTCAAACAGGTTCCTGCAACTTCAGGGAGGCCTCTTTGTTCCATTGTTCCAAAGAGCCAGACAGGCTTCCCACAATCCTGGACAGGGGCAAGTGAGGCGAGGAAGGAGCCCCGGGAGTCTGGCCAGCAGGCTGCTGCCTATGGCAAATGCATCTCTGTTCACATAACACCAGGGATCCAATTCTGTTTGATTCTAGCTTGTAAACCTTAGGCAATCGGCTTCCTTTGCTATTTGCTCCTCTGGGGCAGAGTGGTGACCAGAACCTGTGGGAAACCCACTGAAACCACACTGGCTTTTCTTGAGCGGGTGGAGACAAGGGCTAGATCTTGTTGAAAAGTGGAAAAGCCAGGAGAGTGCTCAGATCATTTGTAACACAGATTCGGTTTTCATACAATGGAATATTACTCACCCCTTAAAAGGAATGATATGTGCCATATCATTGCTACACCATGAACACATCATGCTAAGTGAAAGACGCCACACACAAAAGGCTATAGGTTAAATGAATCCATTTATATGAAATGCAGGTAATTCCTGCTTGCAGAGGTGGGTAAGAGGGGAATGGGAATGACTGCTAATGGCCGTTTTCCAAAATGTTCCAGAATTAGATACTGATTATGTTTGTACAGCTTTGCGAATGTACTAAAAACCACTGAACTCTTCACTTTAAAAGGGCTACTATCATGGTATATGAATTATACCATGATTTTAAATATTATATGATTAAAAATGTGGGTTTCACACTGTAAGAAGCTATGGAGGCTATTAGTGTATTGCCAAAAAAGGGAAGGAAAAGCTGGTCTGAGAGTGAGGAGTCTGGGGCTCCGTCTTGGTTGGTCATCCAACTCTAATCATCTGCCAGACGAATGTTTATGGAGCACCTACCATGTGTCCAGACACCGTGCAGTAATAGCTATGCATTAACGAACAAGGACATCTGCTCTCCCTCACGATCTGCCACTCACCGAGTTCTCTTGGGCAGTTGCTTTAACTTCCCCAAGCCTCTGCTTCTTGAACATCCACCGGAAGTCATCCCTAGATCTCTCCCTATGAGTATACAAGAGACTGAGGTCCCCGGCAAACACCGTGGAAGTCTACATTCCCTTGTGTTCTCCCGTTACATTCTGGGTTCTCCCAGGGCTTCCGGGATGCACTTTAGAATGTCTGTTTCCACTTTCTCTTGGGGACACGGTCTCACAGAGCACTGCCATAGGGAACCAGCACTTTGCTAGCTGCAAGATTCATTTTCCTGCTCTTCACTCTCCACTAGGGCTGAGAAAAGTGAAACTTTCCTGTGCTTCACTCTCCTCTAGGGCTGAGAAAAGTGAAACCAGAGAAAAGTTGTCCAAGTTCCAAAAACAAAGTTACTCATCTATTTACAGGATCGTCTTGCACTTTTAAAGTACGCTGCTTATTTTCCCCAGTTCTCATTATTTTTAGGGGATTATTTTCTATTTGATTTCCTAAGCACGGACAATATTTGATGGATCAAAGTATACATTTACCCTATTTTAAGGTAAAATTGTGATTGACATGGCAAAATTGGTAAATAAGCTTTTAATGTGGACAGAATTTTACACATGCACACACACACATGCACACCCCCTGCCCCCCATAAAGCTGGTATGTTTTAACATCCTCCCCAGTGCCCAGTGTACCTTCCTGTGTTTGGGCTGCAAAGCAGAATGTTTGAGAGCATCTCCAGACACATTTTATAAACACAACTGGGGAAATAAAATCCTGCTAGGCTTCCCACACAATCAGCAACAATCATGAAGCTGGCTTGTCCTCTGGCCCACTTCTAGTCACTGCTTACTACCCCAGGATAATGTGGCCCTTGTCATAACACTCATCCCTTTTCTGTCCTATAGCTAAAATTTAAGACATGGTGTGATGATAAATGACATGCTTTGGATCCGTGTCCCTCACCCAAATCTCCTGTTGAAATGTAATTCCCAGTGCTGGAGGTGGGTCTGGTGGTAGGTGATTGGCTGGTGGGGGCAGTCACTCGTGGTTCAACACCTGCCTCGCTTGGTGCTGCCATCACGATAGTGAGTTTTCACCAGATCTGATTATATAAAAGTATGTGGCACCTCCCCATCACCTTGGTCCTGTTCGTACTTTGCCTTTCACCTTGAGTAAAGACCTCCCCAGAAGCAGATGCTGCCCTGTTTTCTGTACAGCCTGAAGAACTGTGAGCCGATTAAGCTTCTTTTCTTTATAAATTATCCAGTCTCCAGTATTTCTTTATAGCAATGTGAGAATAGATTAATACAATAAGATTTTCATTTGAGTTTCTCTTTTAAGTTCTTCATACCAGTAAGACTGCTGATGCCAGCTGGTCTAAAAGGCCAAGCAAGGAGCTGACTTACGGAAGAATGGACTTTCCACATCCTCATGATTTCATCCCTCTTACCCTGATTAATCGATGACCACAGCTTTCCAGGCCCCCACCTTCCATGATCCTCTTAAAAATCCTTTGCCTAGAACCCCTCAGAGACTTGGATCTGAGGTTTGAGAATCCCCCCTTGGCAGCCTTGAGATTATTCAACTCTTTCTCTGCTGCAAATCCCACTGACTCAGTGTGTTGGTCCATTGCTGTGCAGCGGATGTAGGACTCTGGTAGTCTATAACATTCTGATTTGTTCACACCTTTTCTTCTCTTAGCTGTGAGCACAACTGAAAACAAACTCACACTTAATGAGTGACCACCAGGGGGTGCCCAATATCTTACAGTTGCATTGTGGATGGGAAGTGAGAGAAGAGAAAGGTGAGGGCTGACAAAGGTGAGAAATCAGTTCTTGCTAAACGTGTAAAAGGGCAAAGTGAAGGTTTCCTACCTGGGTCACTCTTCTCTGCAAAAGCCACAATGTGGATCCCATTCAAATCATCTTCCTGTAGGAGAAAAGAATCAAAAGTTACACTTCCAGCTGGAGGGATACAAAAGGCTGAGCCAGGGACAGGGACTCAGAAGCTGGAATGGAAATAGGAGAGGTGGCAAGAGGCGTGGAGGGGGAGACGAACACAGAGGCAAAGAGGAGTACAGTGGAGCTCACATTAAGGAAGGAATGCACAGGGTTTTGATCAAAGATTCAGATAAATGAGTTTGCCAGGCAGGAAAATACCAACCACACGCAAGACATTAGCACTAAATGAGTCTCACTCCTGTGGTCTGGTGGTTCCAGCAGAGCAGCAGTAAAAGGCAAAATGAGAAAGAACATGAGTCTGGTTTATCAGGAGATCTGAGGGCAACGGTGGCTCCAGAGGCAGCCCAGTAAATGCAGCCATCAGTCTCTGTTTTAATAATTTACCGCTGGCAGGTAGAGTCAGTGATGTACCAGGTTACGGAGGCGTTCTAATGCTGCAGACAGATACTGAAACTATTCCCAAATGGATGGCAGACAGGAATCACGGAGGTCAGTTAGGATGTGGGCTGGCGTTGTTCACACGAGAATTGCACACAAGGGTTGTGCTTCCCTGTTAGGGTCCTGCCTGCAGAACCCATGCGTGTGGGGAACACTTTGCTGACTGTGACCTCTAGGTGACTTCCTTGAAGTCCTTGCCAAGTCAGTATAGGCCTCCAGTGCATTGCTGACGCTGCAGGAAGAGTCTGGAATTTGAGTGTAGGGAAGGTTGAGGGCGTGTGGCTGTGGGGGCAGGGGCAGGAGAAGAACCTAGAGAGAGTATTTTAAGTCTATGGGGCAAACGAGGGGCATTTCATGATTCCACACCCAGGACAGCAAGGTCTTGTTTCTCCTTTGCGATGATTATTCCTGAAGGAAGAGGAGCTAGAGCTTGGAAGGGGCTCTGCTATCAGAAATGTGATTCTTAGGAGACTTGGAGAGGAGTACGTGTGAGAAAGAGGCACCTGTGGACGAAGCTGAGTGCATGCTGATGATGAGACACCGAGAGAGGTATGCTTTGGGTGCCCTGGATGTCACATCAGAATCACCCTATGGAAAAACCTCCAGGCGTCTCAACCTTCCCATGATCTCTGTTTCCATTTCAATTGATTTTAATGCTGGTGCAATCCTATCTAAATGCTAATTTTTTCCCTTTGAGTTTGGAATGGACAAAACCTCCACAAATTCTAAGAAAGATTAAATGGAAAATATTATTATTAAAAACAAGAGAGTGGGCACTGCCTTGGTCAGATTTCTCTGGGGAATTTAATTTTACAGACAAATGCATGTGTGTGCCCATGTGTGCCGGCTTATTACTCAAATCCGACAGCAACCAGAAGGGGAGTCTGAGGTTTCACTGTTTTACATTTGCTATTATCTCCAGACAGCATATCCCGATCAGTTCTCATTAGGCTAGCCTGTGTCTCTGTCTCCTGCCAGCAGAAGGAAATGAGTGCCGTTAACTCTGTGAAACTGACTCCATTTCTGTGTGCCCTTCTAGAACGCATTTGGAAATTGGCTTTAGAATTAAGAATCCATATTTGTTTTCTAGGAGGCTGTTCATAATACGGCTGTCACTCCCCAGATCCAAGGTGGTTCCTGGAGGGAGCACTGTCACCAAGGGAAAGAGTCTATCTCTTTGTGGATCACAAATATTCAGCGCACAGACCTGTGTATTCCACATCCACAAGGAATTAGGCCAGCGCTAGGTCCAGGCATTTTCAAGTACTAAAGTCACAGAGCAAGAATCCAAGGGCAACCTGGCAAGTCGGAGCTACTCAGTGAGAACTCAGCTTGCACAGGGGAGGGAGAGCGGCGCAGGCTTGAGGACTGAGAACGCCCCAGGGCCTCTCTGAATCCCACAGCCTCTGCTACTGAGATCTCTCATTTGGTCTTTAGGTCACATTGTCTTGGAAATTCTCTTTCTCACTGAAGAAAAGGATTACGGCTTAAAATAACAATGATGATTAAGATGACAACAGTGTCTGCCATTTGCCACTTTTTCTGTACTTAGTAAGTACATTATCTCAAAATCTCATAAGAAAGTCTTATTGATGCTTAAAGAATCAAAGTGACTTACCTCCGGCCACAGAACTAATAGTGACAGAAGGGGTATTCGAGCCAGTTCTGTCTGGCCCCACAGCCCACTGTCTAGGTCCATTCTGGCTGCTGTAACAACGTATCAAAAGCTGGGTAGCTTATAAACAACAGAAATGTATTTCTCACTGTTATGGAAGCTGAGAAATCAAGACACCGGCAGATTTGGTGTCTGGCGAGGGCTGCTTTCTGGCTCAGAAACGGTGCTTTCATGCTGTGTCCTCACGGTGGAAGGGACCAGCTAACTCTCCGGTCACTAATCTCAACATGAGGGTTGAGCCCTCAAGACCTAATTGCTTCCCAAAGGCCCACCTCCTGACACCATTACCTTGGAGACTATGATTCCCGTGTATGAATTTTGGGGGGACCACAGAAATTCAGACCATAGCACCTGTCCTCTTTTTGTCCCACCACCGCCAGCAGGACAGCCTCCATGAATTGACTGCCCCCTGCAGGATTTGCAGAAGACGTTGCAAACCTGAGTCAATGGCTCTTAAGTTGAAAGAGGCTGGGAAGAGACCTTCATATAAAAACTGGAGATTTGGGAACAACTTCGGTGAACCCCTTCCTGTGGATTCCCCAGCACTGTGTACACCCCTCTGTCACAGCAGTGAGCACACTGGACGGACTTTGTGTGTCTTGAGACTGTTCCATCTACTCAATCTGAGCTCCTAAGGACAGGACAGCGATGTTCATTTTCATGACCTCATTGCTTAGCACAGAGGTTCTTTTTAATACTTAGAGACTCAAAGGAGTATGGCAATAAAAACTTAACTCACGAAGAAAATTTGAAAATATTAGGTACACAGAGAAGAAACTATACTCATCAATTACCTACCAACCGCATATATTACCACTTAATATTTTACCCAGTTTCCTTCCAGGCTCTGTTGAATGTTTGTTCTCATGTTGAATGAAGAGATGCAAAGAAAAAAAATGCAGTTAAAATTAGCAGGCTCCCTATTTAAGGTGCAGTGGGGTGACCTAGATGCTAGTTTGGGGGTGTCTGACCCCATCTTGAAAGTACTTTGCTGTTGCAATAGAGGGAGGCTTTTTTTTTAATTGCATTTTAGGTTTTGGGGTACATGTGAAGAACATGCAAGATAGTTGCATAGGTACACACGTGGCAGTGTGATTTGCTGCCTTCCTGAGGGAGGCTTCTTTTAGAAGAAATTACTGACTCTCCTTCCCTGTGGGCAGTTCCCCAGGACTCTAGCTGGCTGGATGGAGGGTGGAGCCTCCAAGGTGAATGACAGATCAGCACTGGGTCTCTTTTTGCCCTGCCTCACCTTGACATTCTTCGAATATTTAAAATAAATAGCTTTCCAATGTACACAAAGCAAATGTTAGCAGGCACCAGTTTCTTTAGTAATCATATGTGATGGGTTTTCTATGGCCTGCATCTTTAAAACCCTGCCCAATTGGAGAGAGAGAAAGAACAAGAGTTGTTTTAGCTCTAGCTAGCTTTCCCATCTAATTTAAATATTTTGCAATGTCTGGGGAAGTGGATGTTGAAGGTACTTTTCTTTTTCTTTCTTTCTTTTTTTTTTTTTTTTTGAGACAGGGTTTTACTCTTTTGCCCAGATTGGAGTGCAGTGGCACATCTTAGCTCACTGTAGACTTTGCCTCCCAGACTCAAGGGATCCACCTGCCTCAGCCTCCCAAGGGGCTGGGGCTGTAGACACACACCACTACACCCAGCTAATTTTGCATTTTTTGCAGAGACAGGGTTTTCCTATGTTGCCCAGGCTGGTCCCAAATTCCTTGACTCAAGCGATTCACCCACCTCAGCCTCCCAAAGTGCTGAAACTACAGACACGAGCCACCTTGCCTGGCCAAAGAGAAAGACTTTAAAGTTCATTAACTGGTCACTTTCCACAACCACATCTGTGGTTTAAGTTGCTGTGGCCACGTGGCCCACAGAGATGCCACTTAGAGCAGTGCCCTGCTAGGGGGCACAGGTAGAAGAAGGGGTGTGGAAAGTGGCTCCTCAGAGGTCCCTTGGATGGACTGATTCCTGTCTCTCCCTTTCGAGGAAACAAAGATGACACTGGAAGGTCCTGTCCTGCCTTCCCTCTCTAGATGGAGACTTGAATGAGGGGCTGACTAGGTCCGGTTAGGGCTCCTGGGGTAAGTGATGGGGCTGTTCCAGAATGGGGAGGGAAGGGATAAACCATTTCAGTTGCCCTTCTCTCTACCTGGGTAAATTCATTGTGCTGCTTTTTCCCCCAAGTAGAGAACAATTCAATATACAATAATGTGGAGAATATGAGCCATCACCATTATTTTATATTATAGCAAAAGACTGTCATCTATCTTCTTCATTAAATGAAAAGAAAGCAGAGAATGAGTTGCAATGAAACCTAACAGTGAACTTCCGTTCCGAACACCTGCCTCTGATATGCCAAGAGGGAGTATTTCTGCAGCCGTGTGGGATGTGTGAGGACACAGGCTCACCATCTACAGAATACTGTGGTCTCAGGTGTGATACTGCTATTGCAGGAAGGAAAGTCCTGGGAGAAGGGTCCACAGTGTTATACTCCCTCCTTTCCTGGAACCTAGATAATGACACTTGCCCCTTAGGAATAAAGACAATATAAAGAAAAACACTGAAGATAAAGCCACAGCAGAAGATAGCATCAGTAATGACCTCAACTTGAAGTGGTAGTTTGTATCATGAAAGACAAATACCAGTACCCTGTTCCAGACTCAAGGTGATAGAAGTATGAGAGGCCAGGCGTGGCGGCTCATGCCTGTAATACCTCCTGCCTTTGGAGGCCGAGGCGGGAGGGTCACCTGAGGTCAGGAGTTCGAGACCGACCTGGTCAATGTGGTGAAACCCTGTCTCTACTAAAAACACAAAAATTAGCCAGGCGTGGTGGCTCATGCCTGTAATACCTCCTGCCTTTGGAGGCCGAGGCGGGAGGGTCACCTGAGGTCAGGAGTTCGAGACCAACCTGGTCAATGTGGTGAAACCCTGTCTCTACTAAAAACACAAAAATTAGCCAGGCGTGGTGGCTCATGCCTGTAATACCTCCTGCCTTTGGAGGCCGAGGCGGGAGGGTCACCTGAGGTCAGGAGTTCGAGACCGACCTGGTCAACGTGGTGAAACCCTGTCTCTACTAAAAACACAAAAATTAGCCAGGTGTGGTGGCTCGTGCCGGTAATACCTCCTGCCTTTGGAGGCCAAGGCGGGAGGGTCACCTGAGGTCAGGAGTTCGAGACCGACCTGGTCAATGTGGTGAAACCCTGTCTCTACTAAAAACACAAAAATTAGCCAGGCGTGGTGGCTCATGCCTGTAATACCTCCTGCCTTTGGAGGCCGAGGCGGGAGGGTCACCTGAGGTCAGGAGTTCGAGACCAACCTGGTCAATGTGGTGAAACCCTGTCTCTACTAAAAACACAAAAATTAGCCAGGCGTGGTGGCTCATGCCTGTAATACCTCCTGCCTTTGGAGGCCGAGGCGGGAGGGTCACCTGAGGTCAGGAGTTCGAGACCGACCTGGTCAATGTGGTGAAACCCTGTCTCTACTAAAAACACAAAAATTAGCCAGGTGTGGTGGCTCGTGCCGGTAATACCTCCTGCCTTTGGAGGCCGAGGTGGGAGGATCACCTGAGGTCAGGAGTTCGAGACCCACCTGGTCAATGTGGTGAAACCCTGTCTCTACTAAAAACACAAAAATTAGCCAGGCGTGGTGGCTCATGCCGGTAATACCTCCTGCCTTTGGAGACCGAGGCGGGAGGGTCACCTGAGGTCAGGAGTTCGAGACCGACCTGGTCAATGTGGTGAAACCCTGTCTCTACTAAAAACACAAAAATTAGCCAGGTGTGGTGGCTCGTGCCGGTAATACCTCCTGCCTTTGGAGGCCGAGGTGGGAGGATCACCTGAGGTCAGGAGTTTCAGATCAGCCCGGTCAACATGGTGAAATCCTCTCTACTAAAAACACAAAAATCAGCCAGGCGTGGTGGTGTGCACCTGTAATCCCAGCTACTTGGGAGGCTGAGGGAGGAGAATTGCTTGAACTTGGGAGGCAGAGGTTGCAATAAGCCAAGATGGTGCCATTGCACTCCAGCCTGGATGACAGAGGAAGAATCCGTCTCAAAAATAATAACATATAAAAGAAAAAGAGACATAAGGAAATTCACAAAAGTGTGAGATCCTGGATTGGATCCTGAGCCAAGAAGAAGAGAAGTTTTTGTTTTGCTGTAAAGGACCCCGGTGGGACAACCGGCCAACTTGAGTAATGGTAGTAAACTTATTGTGTCGGTGCAAATTTCCTGATTTTGATAATTCTCTCTGTCTATCTATATCTGTCTATCATCTATCTATCTATGTGTCTATGTAGATAGAGGGAATGCATGGTAAGATGTTAGCATTTGGTGAAAAGAGAATGAGGTTCTTTGCACTGTGTTTGTATGTCTGAAATTATTTAGAGTAAAAAATAAAAACAATGTTTAAAAGAAATATTTTAAAGCACTATGATATCCTTTTGCTATTACTATTTTAAAATATATTATAAGAATCTCCTTTTTTTTTTGTTTTTTTGAGACAGGGTTTCACTCTGTTGCCCAGGCTGGAGTGCAGAGGGGCAATCACAGCTCACTGCATCCGCTGCCTCCTGAGTCAAAGTGATTCTCATGTCACCCTCCTCAGTCGCTGGGACTACAGGCGCCTGCCACCACACCCAGCTAATTTTTGTATTTTTTGGTAGGAATCGGGTTTCACCGTGTTGGCCAGGCTGGTCTCGAACTCCTAATGTCAAGTGATCTGCCCACCTTGGCCTCCCAAAGTACTGGGATTACAGGCATGAGTCACCATGTGAATCATGGGAGGCAGAGGTTGCAATAAGCCAAGATGGCGCCATTGCACTCCAGCCTGGAGTGCTGGTGACTCATGCCGCACAATAAGAACATTTTAATATATCTGAAAGGCTTAAATGTTAGGAAAGTTTGTTTCTATTGTGCTGAGTTGTTATTAAATAGTCCACTCCTCTGGACTGGGTTATTTACCCTACTGTATCTTGTGAAATGTTTGCTCTACCTTCAAACATCCAAGTAAGTTACAGACCAGTAAAATAGTGTCAAGTTACTCCCTAGTTTTGTTCATCCATCTCTTCAAAGAATTAAATAGACAAATACTTCGGTGTTAATTCCTTTCTCTTCCTCCCCATCCCTCACCCCAAATGGCCCCTTGTGGGCACATGGTCACCCTGGGGAGGCACTCTGCAGAGAACATGAGGTTTGGCTCCATATGGCCTACATTTAAGTTCCAAGAACTAATGCTTATTAGTTATGTGTCCTCTAGTGACTAATCTATATGAGCATCAGTTTCTCGATATGTAAAATGGGGCTAAAATAATACTTGGTTTTGTTTGTTTGTTTGTGGGACAGAGTCTTGCTGTGTTGCCCAGGCTGGAGTGCAGTGGCAATGATCATAGCTCAAGGAAGCCTCAAGCTCCTGGGCTCAAACAATCCTCCCACCTCAACTTCCCAAGTAGCTGGGATGACACGGGGGCTGCCCCACTCTGCCTGGCTGATGAATAATACTTGTTCTACATCACTTTCTAGAGCTATTGGAAAATCCAAGTAAAAGGACACATGAAATGCTTTGAAAAATGCTCCACAGCCTTTGTTACTTAAGAAATTCTGTACAAAGCTGAGGTGTGGGTGGGGGCTTTATCTCCATGGCCCTCTTTCTAACACTATTTGAGCTGCCTGACATATTGTCCGTGACACAGACCTAGAGGACAAGTTGGCTCAGCTGTTTGCCAGTGCCTTCAGCTGATATTTAAAAAAAAAAAAACAGCGACCGGGCTCGGTAGCTCAAGCCTGTAATCCCAGCACTTTGGGAGGCTGAGGCAGGTGGATCACGAGGTCAAGAGATCGAGACCATCCTGGTCAACATGGTGAAACCCCGTCTCTACTAAAAATACAAAAATTAGCTGGGCATGGTGGTGCGTGCCTGTAATCCCAGCTACTCAGGAGGCTGAGGCAGGAGAATTGCCTGAACCCAGGAGGCGGAGGTTGCAGTGAGCCGAGATCGCGCCATTGCACTCCAGCCTGGGTAACAAGAGCGAAACTCCGTCTCAAAACAAAAACAAAAACAGCTACCTTATTCTGAATTCTTCATATCATTCATCCTTATAAAAAGTCCCAATTGTAGATGAGGAAATTCAGACAGCTCAGAAAGGCCACATGACTTGATGTAGGACACAAAGCTACTAGTTGGCAGATTCTGGACTTGAACCCAAGTGTCTATGACTTTATAGCCTGAATTCCTTCCACTGTGTTACTCTGTGGTTCTGGTGGTCAATGAACAGACGTTATAGCACTTTGGAAAATAAACTCAGAGCAATTTTGCCTAGTGAGTAGTACCAAAGAGGCTTAGCTGATCCATGGAGAACTGTGTTTTAATTGAGCATGACATTGTCCTTGTTTTGTTTTGTATTATTTTTTGAAACAGGGTCTCACTGTGCTGCCCAGGCTGGAGTACAGCATCACAGTCATGGCTCACCGCAGCCTTGACCTCCTAGGTTCAAGCAATCCTCCTGCCTCGGCCTCCCAAGTAGCTAGAACTTCACGCACATGCCCTATGCTCGCCTATTTTTTGTAGAGACAGGGTTTTGCTATATTGCCCAGGCTGCTCTCAGACTCCTGAACTCAGGTGATCCCTGGCCTCAGCCTCCCAAAGTGCTGGGATTACAGGTGTGAGCCATCGTACCTGGACTATCCATGTTTCAGATACTCATCTAGAGATCCACCTCAGCCAAATAAAACTTGGTTTGTTTGGGGACTTAATCTAAGAAGCACTCCTCTTGGGGACTATACTCATCTCTACAAGGCAAAGAGAGTTTGCCACTTTCTTACCCATGTTTCAAACATTTCTTCTGGGCGCAGGCGACGTAGAGTGGGTCTGAAAAAAAATAAAAAGAAGGTGCTTCCTTGAGTAGGGATCCCTGTGGCAGATGCTGCAGCCACAGCATGGTGAAATGTAAAATGAGATGCTGGTTCTTTGGCAAGGCGTGGAGAGCCCTAAAAGCCCACTTGTCCCCTAAGGAAACAGATCTGCTCTGCTCTGCTGTGTCAGACAGTGATCTGGGCCAGAGCCACTCAGCGTTTTCATAGACCCACTGATCCAAGGACTATGAGGTCCGTTACAAACAGTGGGTCAGAGGGCACAGGGTCAGCTCATTCCCAGGGCAAGATGCCACAGATGGACACCACTCTGGAGAGCCCACAGCAGGCCAGAATAGGCAACCTGAGGGGAAAAACAGGAAATCTCGGATTTTGTAGGTCAAAACTGCCTTTTTTTAAATCATCTGGGGGATCCATCAAGAGTCCTTTAGGGATGTTTGGGGGAGCAGATAGGATCTACATTTTGCTCATAGTTTCGTTTCTTTCAAAATACTGGCAAATAGTGCTGGGCACATTAATATTTGTCCCTCCAAGTGCTGCCTTTCGAAGTAACTAGGACTGTCCGGGTGAGGGGAATCACAGTACTCCAGGTCTAGGGAACGCACTCGTGCACATGTTGGCGAGGGTGGACGGGCAAGCCAGTGAGCCTACCGCCATGTTCCATATTCCCATATCATTACTCCCTCAAGAGCAGGGGTCAAAAACCTGCAGCTGATGGGACAAATCCAGCTAGGGCCTCCTGTTTTCCTCAATAAACTTTTACTGGGATACGGCCACACCCAGCTGTTTATACATGATCCGTGCGCTTTCACGCCACAGCTGCAGAGTTAAGTAGTTGCAACAGACGCCATCTGGCTCACAGAACCTGAAATATTTACTGTTTTGTTCTTTACAGAAAAAGTTTGCTGATCCATGCTAGAGCTACCCTAAGTGGTAACAAGCATGCCTCTCCCAGAAGTTCTATGCGTAGAGCGCTCATCTTTGGCTACATTACTTAACGACTGAGTCCAATGCCTTGACCTGCAAAGTTGGGATAATAATAATTACTCCATAAGGTTGGAGATTAGATGAAATAGTTTCCCTAAAGCACTCTGCATGGTTATTGGTATATAGGAACTTTCACTAAATTGCTATCATTCCTAGCATAGAATTTTATTTATATCCTGCCCTGGCTTTGAGGGGATTTGCTGACTGAGGGATTTATCAAACCCTGCTTGCAGGTAGAGACTTACATTCAGAAGTAATAATGTCCCTGGTAGTCACCACTGATCAACAATGCCATACTACTGAGTTATGTCCTGCCGGGGTACTAACTAGGTTGTTGCTCTCGGTGGGTCGGAAATGTTAGCACAGAGAGGTTCTTCTCCATTCCCCAGCCCCCAGCCCCCCAGCCCCTGCATGCCATCTCAGGCACCTTTGGTGTTCCTTCACAAACTCCACAAGCTCCTCTTCCGTGTAAGGTTTGTTGGGGATGGCAATGGGCTCATCCATAAATGGCTCGTAGAAGTCAACCTCATTCATCTTCAAGGATAATTTCTTTGCAACCTGTAACCATTAGAAATAAGACAAAGTTTATGCGAATGCTAGTCTAGAATAGAAACGTGTTGTCCATCTAAGATAAGTGTGTATGTTCTCTGGCAAAGACATTTTAAAAAGATGTACAGTTTTAACTTCAACGTGGAAGTGTTACCAACTCCATCACCTAAGGCCTGGCTAGACTAATCTTCTTTTGTGATCAAATAAGGAAAGATAGGAAGGAAAAAGACTTACCTAGCAAATGAGGGTCAGGCGGGGGCAGGGAGCAGCTGGGATGAGAAGTGGGAAATTTAATTTTACAATCATCATCACTCCACTGCATTTGGCAGGGCTGGATGGGAGGAAAATGCCAATGGAGCATGTTCTCTATCCTGGGTTGTATGGATTGAATAGAACCAGCATTGATAGAACAGGCACTTGATGAAGATCCTTAAAGCATGTCAGTGCTCAGAATCAGAACCCAACCCATCAGCCTGCCCTTGATCTGCTCGTAACCGTAATTGGTATTTAGGTTGAAGTGCTGGCCCTAGAGTTAAATCTCTCAGTACCCAGCTTGCTTTGTGGTTTGTCAGCTGCTGCGAGCTGCCTAGTGTGTCAGAGGTCATGAGGTAACTGACCATCTTGCTTTGCTGTGGGTGGAAGGACTTGCTGGGAGGCAGGACTTTCAGTACTGAAACTTGGGAAGACCCCAGCAAGCCAGGATAATTTTGCTCATCCTACAACAGATAAAGAGCTCGGAGAGCCAGCCCATAGCCTGGAAGACATTTTCTCTCTGGATCAAAGCGGCCACATGCTCGGTGTGTTGTCAAGGCAGAATGGTTGCTGTTTGCCTGCACGGCTGCTGAACTCAGGACCTCTGTGAAATGATTTGAGAGGCCTGGAATGTGCAGCGCTCTATAGAAAACCACATGCCGTTCTTTTCTAGTTCAGAGCCATGGTTCAAGGAAGCACAGGGATGAACAGTGGTTCCTTTGAAGCTGAAGAGGAATTGCCTAAGAGCCGACGCTCTGTGGTGGTAACCCGTGGTGACGTGACCCGGGGTGGCTGCCACTAACTGGGGAAGGGGAGGAGCCAGGTATTGCATAAGCTCTTCCACAAGGAGGTCCATACTGAGGAAACACTGACATCCATATGGTTTTTGTCATCGGTTGCTCTTAATTCCGGGTCACTATATTCCAAAAGACATTTCATATAGTACTTATGAGGAAGAAATTCCAGCATCCTACTCAGAGATAAAGAAAACAGGTCATGTTGACAGCCATAGTCAGTCAAAGGAGATTTTATTGTCAGGTTGATTTAAAGAGAGGGAGACATGGAGGTTTTTTTTTAACTGTTTTTCCCTCTTCTCTAGGACAGGGGGTGATACAGATGATGTGGTGATGAGGCAGGGAGCCAAGGAGGGGGAAAGAGCAAACATACAACCAGTGTCTGAGTTCACACACAGTTCTTTGCAAAGCTGCACCTATGGAGGAATGGGCTAGAAAGTGAGGTTGAATTCTGGTTTTCTGAGTTCACTTACTAGATATTCTAGGAACCAGAAGACTGTTTCTATGAAAGGAGAAGCAATCAGAATGAAAACAGTAATAATGGCAAACACATGGAGTGCTGCTCATGCGCCGGGCACTGCTGCCAGGTGTTTTAGGTTTATTCTTTAATTCTCACTTTGATTGTATACGGCAGGAATGATTATCTCACTTATTTTACAAATGATGAAACGAAGGCACAATCTGGATAAGAAATGCGTCAGGATCATAGATCTGGAGGGAGCAGAGCCAGAAGTCAAACCCACCTGGTGGTGGGGGCAGTCTCTGGTCCCTGAATGCCAGTGTCTGGGTCCACGTTCTGACTGCAAGTGTAGAAATTGTTGTGTCCTTAATTTAAGTCTTGGAAATGTCGAGTAAAATTTCCAAGGGATCTCTTCACTTCTCTCTAACACCATCGTGGAGTGCTCTCATGTTGTATCTCTGAGAATCCCTTTCTTTCATTCTTTTTTTTATAACTTGATTTATTTTTATTTTTTTGAGACTGAGTTTTGCTCTTGTTGCTCAGGCTGGAACACAATGGCATGGTCTCGGCTCACTGCAACCTCCACCTCCCGGGTTCAAGCCTCCTGAGTAGCTGGGATTACAGGAGTGGGCCACCACGCCCGCCCTGCCCCCGCTGTCATTATTATTTCTGTCTTGGACAGTAAGGACTGAAGGGGATTTGATGAGTTGAAGCATTTATTCATTCATTTATTCAGTAAGTATTTACTGGGGCCTACTGAATCCAAGGCAGTATTTTAGGAGACCAGGGTCATGGGTATTAGCATTAATAAGAATAAATGATTCAATTAAGAACCAAACAGGTCCATAAAAATTAATTCTTTCATGCTTTTGTTAACTAGTTGGAAGAGATTTTGACAAAGATAAGGAAAGTACAGAGTACAATGCCGATTTTCTGACATTTGTGTGAATTTTGATACGGATCACTTTTCCTCAAGTTGGCAAGGCGTTTTAGCTGTCGCGAATGAAACCAACACAAACTGTTAGGTTCGTGCAAAAGCTATTGAGGTTTTTGCCAAAAGTAGTGGTTTTTGCCTTACTTTTGCATCAACCTAGTAAATTTAGGTCTTCCCAACATCTACCTGCTCCGCTAACTTTGTTTAGAGAGTCTCAGTTCCCTTTGGCTCCAGTGTGATTAAAAAAAGAGAGTGACTTTTTGTCTTATTGTTCTCTCAGACAGAGAGAGGAACAGGCCAGGGGGAGGCACGTGGGATAGTGAGAACTGATATTTTCAGGCTGTGAGGGACAGCAGAGTGGACGCCAACCTTGGCCCTCCGACACTTTCCTGCTCCAACTGCATCTTCAGAGAGATTGGACCTTCATGTGGCTTGAAGTAGGATTAGTATCAACAGATCATTGCTGGTCCCAAACCTGTACACCCTTTACAATTCCTTGGGAGGCTTTTGAAAATGCAGATTCCGAGACACCATCACAACCCTAAAAAAATTAAACTTTTCAGGGCTGGGGTCCAGAGATGAGTGGTTTTTAAAGCTTGTTCAAGGTTACTGCTATGGGCTAGTTGGGAACCGACTGTCAGATTTACATCAGCAGCTGTGACATGTCACTCGCTTCACAGTCCTGCAACCCATATGATGCGTCTATTGGTTTGTTTACTTATTTACTTTCTTTCTTTCTTTTCTTTCCCAGACTAAACTTTAAATTCTAAAGGGCAAGAATCTGCTTTACTTAAGATTGTGCCCCTGGCACTGAGAAGAGTGTCTGGCACATAAAGGGCACGCAAGAAATACTTGTTGAGTGAATGAATGACTGAATTAATTAACTAAAGACATTTCCAGTAGAATGTTTTCCCAGCTTTGAGAAAAGTGAACTCGTAACCCCATCTCATGTTCCTCAGTAGATTCTTCTCCTGGATTTCCTGGTGTTTTCAGTGGCTGCATGGTTTTTGCTGTCCTGAAGCCAAGACTTCCTATCTTAAGTTAGTTTGAAGCTTTCTGTCATCATCTCATCAATGGCCAGGTCTTCCTGTCACATCCACTTTGCTAGTGCCAGTTGTTTTTTGCATTTTTGTGACTTCATTAGTGCTTCCTTGTCCCCTGCCTTTCCTGGTTTCAGACCTCAACAAAGCACCTCCAGGTCCCTCTGAGATTCCCTGGAGTGTGTTGTTCAAACAGATCCTTTTAACCACTTCGTGACATTTATTGCTTTCCTCCTCTTCCGCTCCAGCATTCCCTGCTGGACACCACTGAGGCTCTACCAGGTGCAGTCATGGCTTCTGGACCCCCCCATCTCCCCTTGGACACCTCTTCCACCCCAGCTGATGGGTGCAAGTTCTTAAGCACCAAATGGCATCAGAGTCCTCTCGGTGCTCTCCCCTCCATGTGTCTTTGTCTTTTTAAATGTTCTGAAATCCCACAAGGGTACGTGAACACTGGCACTTATGACACAGTGTCTTACAGAGTTTTAGTAAAGCATCTTTCCGACTTTTTAATCATAGCTGACCTCACCTTCTTCATGGGCCACTGGCATGAAACTATACAGGTGTTCTAGGAGGCACTTCTAAAAACAGATAGCACCCTGAGCTCAGCGTTGAACCACCCCTCTAAAAACTAAGGCTTTGTTGCTTGGCCAAATTAATTGGCCTGCCTCTCTCTTCCTTTCAGCTGGATTCTTACCCAGGAGCCATTTAGCCACACCTAGTCCATCAGAACCAAATGTCAGTAATGGACTCAGTTTAGGCGTCTCTGTTCCTCCCTTTCTCTGCTAATAGTCTATCCGAGCCTCCCACCTCCTGGGCCTAGATGACTGACATCTTATAACAGTGGGGCTCATAGCTGGCTAACTGTTAACTGAATGCTTCCTGTGTGCCAAACACCAGCTAGGCAATTTGCATATATTGCTTCTTTCTCTGGAGTACAGTGGGATGGAGCATTGACTTGGAAGTCAGGCTGGTCTGAGATTATAGCAAGCTTCTCAATCCAGTTACTCCATGACCATGAATAAACCACTTACTCTCTCAGGGCCTCGGTTTTATCCTCTGTAGAATGAGAATACTAATTCCTCCCTCTAGGAGTGTTGAGAGGATGAAGTGAGAAAATCCATGTTAACTTCTTAGCACAGACTCTCGCACACGATTTTTAAAATGTATTATTTTTTATATTTTTATGTTTGTTTGTTTGTTTTTTGAGACGGAGTTTCGCTGTTGTTACCCGGGCTGGAGTGCAATGGCGCGATCTCGGCTCACCGCAACCTCCGCCTCCTGGGTTCAGGCAATTCTCCTGCCTTAGCCTCCTGAGTAGCTGGGATTATAGGCATGTGCCACCGTGCCCAGCTAATTTTTTGTATTTTTAGTAGAGACGGGGTTTCACCATGTTGACCAGGATGGTCTTGATCTCTTAACCTCATGATCCACCTGCCTCGGCCTCCCAAAGTGCTGGGATTACAAGCATGAGCCACCATGCCCGGCCAAAAAATTTATTATTTTTTATATTTTATTTTTTGAGAGAGGATCTCACTCCATTGCCCAGGATGGAGTGCAAAGGAATGATCATGGCTCACTGCAGCTTCAACCTCCTGGGCTCAGGTGATCCTCCCACCTCAGCCTCCCGAGTAGCTGGGACCTACAAGTGTGCACTACCACACCCAGCTAATTTTTGTATTTTTTGTAGAGATGGGTCTCACTGTGTTGCCCAGGCTGTTGTCCAACTCCAAGACTCAAGTAATCCACCCGCCTCCGCCTCCCAAAGTATTGGGGTTCCAGGCAGGAGCAATAATGCCTGGTTCATCATAGATACTTAATACATGATAGTTATTTTCTTTAAATACCCTTGCTCAAGATTCCTCCCAACTGTAATCCCACTAATTAGGATAAACATTCTTCAAGTTGAGATTATATTGCTTGTATTATAGACCTGTCTTCTGGATCCTAGGCTTAAAGACAGGGCCACATCCATAGAAGTGGTTCATCATAGGCACAAACTGAAAGCAGTCTCCTCCCACCATGCCCCTTCCCTGCTCCAGCTCACCGGCATCGTCCTGTTCTTCACAGGACACTTGCTTGACCTCATCACGGATGACTTCCCATCCTGCTCCCCATCCTGACCCAGTGGAAGGGGAAGTATGCAACCCCAGGAAGGGAGAGGATGCCCCATTAGGAAAAAGGAAGCATGGCTCAGTGGGCTGGCACGCTCTGTGCCCACACATTTCCCATCTCAGTGCATGAGAAGATGTGGGTGGGCCATCACTTCCATCACTTTTCCTTGGGAGGTTTTAGAAATACTCTTTCATCCTCTGAATTAGTCATCTTTCTACTCATCTTTCATCCAATAGTGATTTAGTGACATAATTCTTAACCCTTTAGAGAAAGAGGCAAGGGAGAAGGGTAAACATCGCTAAAAGAAAAAAAAGAGTGGTGGGAAGTTCAAACTTTAATCCTTCATTCCTACAACACTGTTCAAGTTGGGGTTTCGTAGGTACTCACCCCTTTGTCAAAGGTGGCAAAGAATTTGATGTAAGGCTGGAAGTGTTCAGCGGCTTCTTCAAAAGCCTTGTAGTCTGAGGGGAAAACAGAGGTGAAGAGAGAGACATTTTCAAGATGCACACTGAAGGGTCTTCTTTTTGAACGAGGCACAGAGTAGAAAGCCAATCGATCCTGACTGGATAATAATTTATTAGCTATTATTTAGAAAGGTAATGACTTAATACTATTTAAACCCATAGTTCCCCCCAAGGAGTTGGAATTGCCTGGCATTCAAATGCCCAAGAGAAGACCCACCCCTTCACCACACTTTTATGAAGTGCATAGATAGAAGGCAGGAAACAGGGAACCCACAGGACAAGAAACAGAAAAAGACACGTAAAACCCCAAACCAAAATAAAAAGGGCTTTCACTCTAACTCACTGCTACTTATAATCACGCCCTCTAGAGAGCATGCAGTTTGCCAGAATAAATGAGGCCTAAGCACGAAAGAAGTTTATCTCCCTGTAGAAAGTAACCTCCATCACAAATGACATTACAGGAGTCTTTTAAACTTCTTAGAGGAAGCACCCCTGTTGCTGAATTCTAGTTTTCTTTCCCTTTTTTCATTTTAAAGTTTTCTTCTTTATTCTCATGCCTCAAGAGGATTTCCTAAACTTAAGCCCTTGACTGACTACGGTCTCAAACTTGAGTCCATACCGGCCGAGGCAGGCATGGGATCAGGTGAGTGTGGAGTGCTGTACCTTGGCACACCTGGGGAGTTACGTAGGAAAGAGATTTGCACTCAAGCTTTAGATGTGAGGGTGGTGGCTGTTCTGAATCACTTCTATAATCCTGAGAGTCAACGAGCCTGTGATTTATTCTTAGCAAGATTCACTTCTTCCCTGGAATATTCCATTTCCCTTAACTAGCAGAAGTATAAGCCTTAGTTACAGTTCTGAGGCCGTGCAGAATGTATTAAGATTCTATCAATTATTTTTTAGAATAATGCGAGTTCAGGGGATACCAAAAGGAATAAGGAAAAGATACTGAACTTAAAAAGCTCTCAGCCTAGAGAGGGCTGTGGATCCTCAAACGGTCACAGTGCAGCGTGACAGTTGTGACAACAGAGGTGAGAGAGGTTGGAAAGTCATAAGAGCACTTGTCCATAATGATACACACTCACCCTAACTCATCCTCATAAAAGCAAGTGGGTAGTCAGAAATATCCTGTAACCTGATAGCTGGGGTCGAGAATTGCGTCCAGGTGAGAAGACGGCTGGGAGCATTTGAAGAATGAATGGAGAGAAGGTAGGGAAGTAGAATGGCTAAAGCAACACCTAAGCTGTCTGTGTCTAAAGCAGCAGTGGGCTCTATCGAAATCCTCTGTCCCCCTCTTTTCCAATCCCCATGTCCCTGATGAATTTCTCCTCCCTTCCGTGATCTCCCAGTCTGACGTGTCAGGGGCCTCCCTTCCTGTCTTGAAGAGCTGTTTTGCATCACTTTAAGGCAAGGAATGAAGCAAGGTGACCCCCAGATGGGTGATTCAAAATGTGGCTTGACCTTTAGCCTCAGCCAAACAGCAGCTGTTTTCTAGAAGGCTCCTCTTGTCTTCTGCTGTGTTGGAGCTCAGGTCATCTCTAGGCTTTCCCTGCCTCCCCGTCCTGTTTAGATGCTGGCCAGCCTGTTCCTGGTCCCTTCCAGTCAGACTCCCCTCCCACTTTCTGTGATGACTCTTGGCTTCTGGAATAGACTCCTGAACATTCAGTTCCTAGCCTCCAGCTTACTCAACATTTATCTTTGCATTTCCTCACCTCTCTTCCCCCTCTCTCTCAGGGTTGTCTATTCTGGGTATTAGTATAGCAAATTTTAGTAACAGCGTATGTTTGATGGCACCAGTTAGAAATCCTGATAGGACATGCTTGGAATAATATCATCTGTCTTACAAAGAAGAATCAAACCAAGGTGTTGGGATGAAACATTCAAAGAAGTAAATGAACATGCCAAAATATATTCTGAAAGCTCTGCCCAAGTTAAGTGCACGTAGTTAAGTGTATAAACTTTATAGTGTATGAACTCTGAAGTCAGATTTTCAAAGTACTGTCCCAGTTCATGTATTGATAGTGCAGCTACAATGACAAGAAAGTGTAAAGGCTTCACATCAAGTTCTTTCTGAAAATCCTGAGATTCAAATAATATTTATTCAGAGAAAAGCTCTGTCATATCAAGGTTCGCCTGTGAATCTGCATTCCACAAAAAGGGTGCTATTTTCAAAAGTGACTCTAATAACATCGAAACCTGCACAACTCCTTCTCTTTATGGCTTTTGGTGAAGAAATGAGTTCAGGAGACCTCTCCATGCTCTTTCACCCTGAAGTGGGTTCACTCAGCAACAAGTCTACAGACTTCATCAGCCAAAAAGTCGATTTTGAAATATGCTGTGAATTATACTTACTTTGAAAGTATTTCGAGAGATCATTAGTGGCTTCAAAAAAGGCTAGACCTTGCGAAACACCCACCTGAATGTACTTAATTGAAAATTACAAGGACCAGGTGAAATATATAATGTACTAACAAAGTTTACACATTTAAAAACAAAAATCCCACCTTAAAAAGAGGTTAAAGTGACTCACTTGCAATTTGATTATTTAAATTTTAAGAACAATTATTAAGATGAGTAGAGCAATATCTGTGTATTCCTAAGGAAAAGCTTCATTATTTTGAAATACTATGATATAAAAAAATTTAATTAGGATTTGTAACCCTTTCACATTCATTCAAATTATTATAAAGAATACAAACATTATATTTGTCAATGAAAGAAAAGGAATAGCTGTCAGATTGAATTAAGTGCCCTAAAGGACACTTTAGAGGTGGAATTCTCTGCATTATGTCCGATGGCAGAAAAAGAATGCTCGTCAGTCTAAGAAACAGCAGGCCAGACGTAGTGACTCACGCCCGTAATCCCAGTAGTTTGGCAGACTGAGGCGGGTGAATCATCTGAGGTCAGGAGATCGAGACCAGCCTGGCCAACATGGTAAAACCCCATCTCTACTAAAAATGCAAAAAAATTAGCTGGGCGTGGTGGCAGGTGACTGTAGTCCCAGCTACCCAGGAGGCTGAGGCAGGAAATTCACATTAACCAGGGAGGCAGAGGTTACAGTGAGCTGAGACTGCGCCACTGCACTACAGCGTTGGCAACAAGAGTGAAACTCAGTCTCAAAAAAAAAAAAAAAGAAATGAAAAGAAAAAGCAATGGATATTATCCTCCCTTTTGTCACCATCCACATATACAAGTGAAGTCTCTTGTCGATGGTGATCATTAAGAATTTGAAGAGATCGTCATTTAAAATCTGGATAAGGAATTTCATGTTGTTATTTAAACATAAAAGCTAATATCTAAAAGCTATATTCTAGGCTGGACATGGTGGCTAATGCCTGTAATCTCAGCACTTTCGGAGATTAAGGCGGGTGGATCACTTGAGGTCAGGAGTTCAAGTCCAAGCCTGACCAAGCTGGTGAAATTCCATCTCTACTAAAAATACTAAAATTAGCCAGGCGTTTTGGCGGGCACCTATAATCCTCAGGAAGCTGAGTCAGGAGAATAACTTAATCCCAGGAGGCACAGGTTGCAGTGAGCTGAGATCATGCCACTGCACTCTAGCCTGGGCAACAGAGAAAAACTAGATCTCAAAAAACAGCTATATTCTTGAAGTAAGCATAACATTCTCATTCAAATTTTTTTTTAATTGGAAAAATTTTACAATGCAATGTGTAATATATTTCATGATATTTTCTTATTGTACACTGCAAAGTTAATTTTTTCACGAAGCCCAATTCCTTCATGTTTACTTCCATTTTATACTCTACAAGCATTATCGCATTTTATATGTGCAATGACCTAAGTTTACAAAGTCTTGAAAATATAGCCCAGTAGTTAAGTGTATAAACCCTAAAGTCACATTCCGAGGATCTCAGTCTTGGCTCCACTATTTACTAGCTGTGTGATAATGGGCAGGTGAATTGCACCTTTCAGTTCCATCCTTCCATCATCAGTAACAAGCAGATGATAATGATAACCACCTCACAGGCTTGCTGTGAGAATGAAATTAAGGCATCCATAGAAGCTCCTAGCATAGGCCCTGGCATATGAAATGTGTTAATTAGTATTATTATGATTGTTCATCCAGGTGGGAAAGAAAGGTACTGGGAGGTGTGCTCTCTATCCTAACCTTGGCTTTGCCTCCCATTTATCTGCCATCCTGAGCTACATGGATGAAGAGGATAGAGAAATGTAAAGATGGAAACAAATTGAGGTGGAGGAACTGAAAAAGAAGGGGCAGGAGAAGCACCCCAGAGCAGTCAGCACTGATACGCAAATGTACAAACTAAAATAAAGTCGCTTGAAGACGAACTGGGGCAAATCTTCCTGGCTAGCTACCTCCCTCTAGCATATTCATTTTAAGCACTGTAAACGGAGGTTTGAAGGAAGCAAATGAGGACAGGGTTAAGTTGGGGCGTGGGAGACAGCAAAGGAATGGGTTGTTGAAGAGGTGACTAAGGATACTAGCAGGCAGACTGGTTAAAGAAATGGGCTTGGAAACAACTTCAGAATATTTTGGGGTTCCCAGAAATAGTCATAAGCAGCCCACGCTTGCACTTCCTACTTGTATGAATGCTACCAGAGTTCTGTTCACCCCCTCTAAGGCTTTTTCTCTCTCCAAGGCTGAGACACTGGAAAAAAAAAAAAAAAAGCCTACTTCATTGGACCCACGCTGCCAAAGCAGTTTTTAAATATGTACAGTACTTAAGTCTAACTCCTCCTGGTCCCTTCTTCCTGATCTTCCTGACTCACCCCCACCACCCTCTCATCTCTATATGGGCTGTGCTGTGCTGATGCTATCATAAGTCCTTGTGTCCACCCGAAACCTGGTCACAAAGCTTTCCAAGGGATATGCCCAAGGGTGTGGCTGCACTACGGCAGGCAGCCTTGGTGGTCAGCTACAGCCTTGGCCAGCGATTTTTCACACTCTGTAGCAGCTACTAAACCCATCCCTACCCCAATTTTCCACTCATGCTTTCCAATTGACTGCGAAGTTCTCCATCTGGTGACCAGAGGAGCTGCCAATGCCAGGGAGATAGCCCGTTGCTTGTCCCATTGTCGGGGAGAATCCGACTGAGGGGTGGGTGGGCAGGAAAAGTGAAGAAGGGCTTTTCTCCCTTCTGTAGACCACTCAGCCTGCTTTAAAGCCAGAGAACCTGGCCCCACCTTAATATTCTTTCAGCTTTCCTGACTGTTTTGTATAACTTTTGCACATGTGCTCCACAGTGTTAGGCTCAGGAGGGAATTCTACCCAGCAAAAGAGGTGCTGAAGACCCATCCCTTTTGAGGTACCTTATTGGAAATCTAGCCTTTAGACTGATAGGTTGGGGTTGGCAGACAACTTACATTCTGAGTCCTCACTCTTGAAAAAGCCAATGAGTTTGATCTGGTCCTCAATGCGTTCGAAGGCTTGGACTTCCAGTTTGCTGCTGATGATCTCCACTGGGTCTTCAATTAGCTGAAATGCCACACACACACACACACACACACACACACACACACACAAAAATATGTTCAAACAAGAGATTTCCTTCTCCACTGGGAAAATAGAGTGTGTTGGAGGGAAGTCGTAGCAGACTTTGTGGGTGGTGCCTCAAATACCTATTCTGCTCTCCCCACAAACCCCCAGTGAGCATACGGCAGTACCTTCTGAGGACTAGACCTTAGCTCAAAGAATGAGATGATTGGTGGGGGCAACCTATTCCTTCTGCCAGTTTTAAAAACCAGTTTTTAATTGTAAATTGATAAATTATACTTGTATTTATTGGATATAAAGTGTTGCTATGATCTATAAATACAAGGTGAAATAATTAAATCAAGCTAATTAACTTATCCGTCATTTTTTGTGGTGAGAGCATTTGAAATTTACTCTTTTAGTAATTTTGAAATGTGTAATACATATTATTTGTTATATTCACCATGCTCTACAATATATCTCAAAGAATGAATCGTATTCCTCCTGTCTAACTGAGGCTTTGCACTCTTTTACCATCATCTCTCCATTTCCCAGCCCCCATCCAGTCTCTGCTTCTGTGATTCCACATATCATAGGTGAGAACATGTGCTATTAGTCTTTCCGTGCCTCGGTTATTTCAATTAGCATAATGTTCTCCAATTCCACCTGTATAGTTCCAAATGACATTTCTTCCTTTTTTTCAAGAAATGTCATTTGGAATATTATTCGTTTGTGTATATACTACACGTTCTTTATCCATTCATCTGCTGGATATTTAGGTGGATCTCATAACTTCCCTTGCCAGTTATTGATTGAGGAATAGGCAAGTAACTAGCCCAATAAGGACAGATTTGCTGAAGGCTTTGGGAGAAGCTCTTTACACTTAAAAGGGCAATGGGAAGCCAAATTTGTTTTTTCTGTCATGGAACATGAATGAGGAAATGTGATGTGCTGGTTCCTGCTCTGGCCATCTTATAGCTCACATTGAGAATCGTCAGCTTGAGGACACAGGCAACATACTGAAAACAGAGTTATCTGTGATTTACAGAGAAAAATGGAGCCAGTGTCTGGATTTGATGAAGGGTAAAGTCTGCCCTAATGGAGGCTTCTATTTATCTGAGTCAGTCGCCTTGTTTACTGTTTGACGTGGTCAGTCTTATTTCCAAAAGCCTCCTCCTAGCTGATCAGGCTGGGGCAGCACCATGTTGTCCCAGAGTTGTCACCCCCTCAACTGTTTTAGGGCTTGTGGGTGTGGGTCAATGAGATGGCCAAGCACAATGGGTCATGAGATGGCACGGTTTTGGTAAGACGTAGCTTCCAACTCACTTCTGACCTTCCCTCTGGTTTTTGACACTGTAGAGAAAGAACTATAGACCACCGAGTTCTAGCTGATAGATAAGGAATGGTCGGCACGGATGTTCAACAGCAGGTCCTTTATCTATGCAAGAACATGTGTTCAAAGCATTGGACTTCACAGCAGTTACTGAAAGTGTGAGTTTATCTATGGTTGAAATATTTTTATAATGCTTGTTCCTCTGTTTCTCTGAGCATATGGATATGAGTGTGTGGTAAGTTCATGGCTGAAAATGAGTGTGATATCGGGAGGCTCATTAGCTCTGCCACTTCTCTGTGTTGCTCTGAGGGTAGTTAACTCAGGGTGACCTGGCTGATTGATACTCCTGTCCCCCCTCTCTGGTTATCCCCCTCTCTCCCCACATTTCCCAGCTCCTCTTCAGCAGTAGTGGAGCAAAGCCAAGGAAATTTTAATATGTATCACTGGTAAGAGAATTAGCATATTACTACTATATGGTCCCCAGCAGTTTCTAGGGTGACTTAAAGATCAGCTTCCCAGTAGACAGTGCAATAATATAGGTGCTCCTTAGTTTTTTTGTGAATCCTGAAAATCCTGTCACAGACGAGGTCAGGTTCTCTGGCTTTTCTGTTCTTTGAGGTTCTATCTCCATATATTGGAGCAGAGACAGCTCCATGCAGGGTCACTGTGCATAAATGCTTACATCCAAGAGGAACTCCACCAAGACATCAGCTGCAAACTCGCCATCAAACTCTATTGTGCGATCACCCTTAAGAATATACAGGCTTCCTTCTTCGTCAAAACCTGTGAGAAACAAAGAGGCCCACAGAGAGGGTCATCCTGATGTAGGACGAGACATTGCATTGGCTGAGGTCTGGCTCAGGGTTTCTGGGTGACAGTGGGTTCAGGATTCGTGGAACCAGCATTAACCCAAGAATCAATTCCCCTAAAATAACACTTTTGAAGAGCTCCTGAAGTGGACATTTAATTGGAAATAGTCAAGAAAAATTCCACCTGGATTTCAACTTAAAAGTCTATTCTCCACCCCACCACTGCTTTAGTTTTCCAAAACTACAGCTGATCTCGTGTCATTCTCCTTATCAAAGAGTTTTAGTGGCCACCGCCCACCTGGCTCCTTAGCCTTGCATTAAAGTCCCTCCAAAATCTGGTTCCAATTCTGTCCCTTTCATTCTCCCTTGGGTAGACCCATGCTCCTTTGAGAACTGCTCTCTTGTCCCTTGTGCAACTCCCTGTGCTTCCTTCCCACTTGCTTATATGAAAGGGTGGGTGGCAGGAAAGTCACAGAGCATTATTCTCCAGACTTATGTTTTCCTTGTTCCCCAGCTTGGAATGACCTCCGTCTTGATTAGCTTCTTCAGGTCTCAGATTAGGATTCATTTTTCTTAAGAAAGGTCACCTCAGTCTCACTGAGCCCATACCGTTATTGATCTTTCCTTAACTCAATTTACAGGCCTTCACTATCACAGTGAGTTCTCTGAGGGTGGGATCATTGTCACTGGTATCTCAGTGCCTCGTACGGCGCCTGGGTGTATTAGCACCCTGCTAATGCGTGCGGCCAGGATGGACAGCTTGCTTCCCGTTCCGGTTGAATCCCACACATCTTCTTTACCCGGTTGGCTAGTAGGTATGACAAGGACAGGCTCAGCATCTTCTTATTTTTCTGCCTTGTGGCACACCCTTGGTCTGATGTTGTGTACCATAACAAATGCTTGTTGGAAAACTGTATTTTTCTCCCCAGGAATGTTAAATAGCCAAAGCTGGCGTTTGGTCCAACTGCATGGCATCCTTAATTCTTTAGACTGTTTTAAAACTATTAGCTGGAGAATGTTTTCTCCCAATGAACTCTTCTGCAGAACTTCCAGGGACAGGAAGGCTGGACTGCTGCCTGTTGCGTCCAAAGCCATAGATGATGTATAAGGAGCCCCTGGCACATGGGGGGAAATGGTGGGGGCACCATTTGTAAATCAAAAGGAGCAACATGCCAGGTATTCTTTTTTGTTTGTTTGGTTTTTGCTTTTTGAGACATGGTTTCCCTCTGTCACCCAGGTTGGATTGCTGGGCCATGATCACAGCTCCTGCCTCAGCCTCTTGAGGAGCTGAGACTACAGGCATGTGCTACCATGCTGGCTAATTTTTTTTTTTTTTTAAGAGACAAGGTCTGGCTATGTTGCCCAGGTTGGTCTCAACGCGCTGGGATTACAGGCATGGGACATCGTGTCCGGTTCTGCCAGATTTTCTTGATGTCAGTGATGGCTGATCTCAAAAGGTGCCCTAGGGAGCATTAGCCAGTATCCTGCTGTCAGATTTTGTCTTGGGCAAAACCACAGTTAGAAGGCTGCTGCAGTTGTTCAGGCACAATCTGACAGAGGCCAAAATAAGGCAAAGGGAAGAGGAATGAAGATGAAGAAGCAGGTTCACAAAATACCTCCGCTGTCCTGTAAACCAGGGACTAAACAGCAAGAAGGAACCTGCCCCAACTCTTTCAAGCTGAGCTTGGAGAAAAGTTTGTTTCAATGTATCAAGCCCCTCATATTCTTTGCCAGTCTATTTTTATGTATACTTGCTCAACTTGTCCACCCAAAATGTTTTGATCACTGGGACACTAGCTTTTTATGTAACTAAATTTGCTGGAAATTCTCCCAAACTTAGCTTCTCATGAAGCAATAGGAAGGCAGAAGAGGAATCAAGAGACTGTTGGGGGAGGAGGCAGAATTCATTAAATTGTTTTTAACTCTAGGGAAAGAATTTAACATATTTTGCTCCCATATTCGAGGGAGAAAAATATCCCTTAATATGTCTTTAGGGAAAGAGGCATCCCAGGCTTTATTTATTTATGTATTTATTTTGGGGCAGAGTCTCACTTTGTTGCCCAGGCTGGAGTGCAGTGGCAGAATCATGCAGGTGGAAGTGACTGCAATCTTGACCTCCCTGGCTCAAGCCATCCTCTCATCCCAAGTAGCTGACACTACAGGCACATGCCACGATGCCTGGTGAATTTTTAAATTTTTTGTAAAGATGAGGTTTCACTGAGTTGCCCAAGCTGGTCTCAAACTCCTGGGCTCAAGCAGTCCTCTGCCCTTGTCCTCCCAAAGTGCCCAGACATTCTTAATAACTCATTATAATTTTATAGTCATGAATTCTTTCTTACGTCTAACCTAAATAGTCTCCTATAATTTAAATCTTTTTTGAAAATGACTGGTCTTCTTGAAAATAAAACAGGAAACAGTTGTCTGTAATTTTGCAGGATAATGGACTTTCATGTACCTGAAGGCCTGTATTGGACCACCACTAACTTTTTTTTTTTCCTGTACTTACTACTCCAAATCTGATTAACCTTTCTTCAAAGGTCCTGTTTTATAACCTGCTGTTTTTTTTAAACAGCCATTCTTCACTGATCATGCAGAAAAAGCCAAATGGGCAGTACATGTGTGTCAGTGTGTGAAAATCAGGGGAACAGGCCAGGAGTGGTGGCTCACACCTGTAATCCCAGCATTTTGCGAGGCCAAGGCAGGCAGATCATTCAAGGTTAGGAGTTCAAGACCCACCTGGCCAACATGATGAAACCCTGTCTCTACTAAAAATACAAAAAAATGAGCCAAGTGTGGTGGCATGTGACTGTAATCTCAGCTACTTGAGAGGCTGAGGCACAAGAATCATTTGATTCCAGGAGGCAGAGGTTGCAATGAGCCAAGATCACACCACTGCACTCCAGCCTGGGTGACAGAGTAAGAAGAGACCCTGACTAAAAAAAAAAAAAAAAAAAAAAAAGAAAAGAAAAGAAAAAGAAAGAAGGAAGGAAGGAAGGAAAAAAACAAAAGAGAAAAGAAAGGAAAAGAAAACCGGAGGAGCTACCAACATTCTCTCTCTTTGAGATCGCGAGGCTGTGAATCTTGAAGTGCACTGCACTTAAGTGTGACGTATTGACACAGGAGAGCACAACTTCCATTATGTGGTCGCTTAACTAATCCTCACCTCTGTCCTCCCTCTCGTCCTCAGTGATAAAGCCCAGCTGGGCGTTAGCCTTACATTTAAAAAGCACCGTTACCCTGGCATTATTACCATGAATACTATGTTTTGTTGGCTGCTTCAGTCGCAAGGCAACGAAATAATCTGTGATGAAAGAAGAGGGTTTTTTAACTCTCTGAGAGAGATGACCACAGTGGTGAGACAAGAGAAGCTGGCCTTTCAGCTTGCTGTGGAAGCTGCAAGCAAAAGCTTGACTCTTGAGCGTGTTTCTCCAGGAAGAAGTCTTCTTCATTGTACTGATACAACAATCGCTTACATGACTCATGTGAAACCATGCAATTCAGGCCTGTGTTTACCTTTATAAAACCCTTCTCCGGCCAAAGACGAAGGCATGCAGGATCATGTAACATATCTTTAAAGACAGTTCGCTCATGCAAGAGTCATTGCAACTGCACTATTCTTTTTGCAAGACACATTCGTTTCTTTCCCACATAGTGTAAGAGATACTGTATCTGAAAAGTCACACTCACCCAGTTTCTTGGCAAGCTTGGCTTCTTTCTTGGCATCCACCATCACAAAGCCTATAGCTTTATGTTCAAGGACCTGGGCCACAAGCTGAAGGAACAAATGGAAAGATAAATGCGCTAAGGGCAGAAAGATGGTAGGAAATACTACAGGATTACTATCCTCATACATCAACGGAAGGGTTTTTCTCTATACTTTCTACTACTGTGTGACCAAGTCAACCGCAGCAAAGGAAATGTATTCGTGTCCCCTAAGGAGGATGATTTAGGAGAATGCTGAGAATCAAGAGGAAGCATCTGAGGAGCAGGCCTAAGACAGAACATTTGGAAGAATATATCCACTATTACACACCATTTTCTGCCCTCGGAGTAGAAAAAATCTGGATCAGGAGAGAGAAGAATCAGGAAGCATGGATGATTGATAAGAGACCCTGAGCCCTTCTCTAGCTGCCAAATGTACCTGGAATAGAGTGGGAACACAAGAGGACTTAAGAATAAAGGAGTCTTATGTCCTCAATATCCAAGCATCCCCTCACTTCCCCGACTCCTGGGCTTGTGAAGTAGGAATGCTCACTGGGTGAGTAGACCTGAGATGTCCTCTCAAGGTTTCCTGCAGCACAGTAAGACTGGTAGAGTATCGGGGGTCAGGGGTTCAGCTCCAAAGGCCAGGAGGATGCAGCACTGTCTTGGACGGACAGATAGATGAAAACTACTCTGGGTAGACACCAGCATAGATGGTGACACCCAGCACAAGGCTGGCATTATGTCAAGCTTCCTGAAACGTAGATATGAGCAAGTTGGGTGTACTTGCTACTTCAGGACTGATAGCTAATTCTTGCCATCTGTTTGAGCAGGGGCTTGAAACGGAAACAGAATGGAGATGCTACTAGACAGATCATGAAATATTAATATTGCTTTTTTTTTAAGTTAAACTTTAAAAAATGATAATTGCAGATTAATGTGTAATTGTGAGAAATGATACAGAGAGCTATCTTGCACATTGCATCTAGTTTCCCTCAATAGTAACATCTTGCAAAACAGAGGTACAACGTCACAAATTGGATATTGACATTGATACAGTTAAGATACAAAACATTTCCATCGCCACAAGGATCCCTCTGTTGTCCTTCATGGTCAGACCCACTGGTTTGTGTCCCCATCCCCTCTTTAACCCTGGGCAACCACTAATTTGTTCTCCATTCCTATAATTTTTGTCATTTCAAGAATGTTACATAAATGGAATCATAGAGTATGTAACCTTTTGAGACTGACTTTTTTCGCTCAGTTTAATTATGTAGAGATTCATCAGGTTGTTACATGTATCACTACATCATTTCTTTTTTATTGCTTTTTTATTTTATGGGATTCTATGGCATGAGTGTACCATAGTCGGTTGAATCATTCACTCATTGAAGGGTGTCTGGGTTGTTCCCAGTTATTGGTTAGTATGAATAGAGCTGCTATAAACCTTGTGTACAGGTTTTTGAGTCTTAGTTTCCCTGAGATAAATGTCTAGTAGTATAATTACTGGGTTGTATGGTAGTCACATGTTTAGTTTTTAAAGAAGCTGCAAAACTATTTTTCAGAGTAGCTGTATTATTTCACCTTCCCATGAGCAAGGTATGAATGATCTAGTTTTTCCACATCTTTATCAGGACTTGGTAACATAAGCATTTTTCATTTCAGTCATTCTGACAGGTATGTAGTACTATCTCATTGTGGTTTTAATTTGCATTTTCCTAATGGCTAACAATGTTGAGCATTTTTAAATGTGCGTATTTGCCATATGTATGTTCTCTTCTATGAAATGCCTGTTCACATCTTTTGCTCATTTTTTAACTGGATTGCTTTTTGGTTGTTGAATTTTGAGAGTTTTTTTTTTAATAGCAGTCCTTTTTCAGATATATGGTTTATAAGTATTTTCTTTCACTCCATAGTTGTGTCATTTCATCTTCTTTTTTTATTTGACAAGTAACAATTGTACATATTCATAGGGTACAGAGTGATGTTGTGATCCATGTAATGTATAGTGATCAGATCAGGTTAATTAGCATGCCTATCACCTCAAACATTTATCATTTTTCGTGTGTTGCAAACATTCAATATCATAATCTTTTCATCTTTTTTTAAACATTTGAAAAATTATTTTATTACTTTTCTTGGCTGATAAAATTAATACACATTCATAACATATCATTTTTTTCTTTATTTATTTTTTTAATTGTATTTGGGCTCTGGGGTACATGTGCACATCCTGCATCCTGCAGGATTGTTGCATAGGTAGATACATGCCATGGTGGATTGCTGTCTCCATCCACCCCCGCCACCTGTCACCTGCATCAGGCATTTCTCCCGGTGTTATCCCTCCCCATCCTCCCAGTCCCCTTCACTCTCCCTCCACATCCCCTGCCCTCCCCTCCATTTCCTAACCTAGCCCTGTGAGTGTTGTTCCCTTCCCCGTGCCCAAGTGTTCTCATTGTTCATCACCCGCCTACAAGTGAAGACATTTAGTATCTGCTTTTCTGTTCTTGTGTCAGTTTGCTGAGAATGATAGTTTCTAGATTCATCCATGTCTCTACAAAGGACACAAACTCGTCGTTTTTTTATGGCTGCATAGTATTCCATGGTGCATATGTACCACATTTTCCTTGTCCAGTCTATCATCGATGGGCATTGGGGTTGCTTCCAGGTCTTTGCTATCATAAACAGCATCACAATGACCATAAATGTGCATGTGTCCTTATAGTAGAATGATTTATAATCCTTTGGGTATATACCCAGTAATGGGATTGCTAGGTCAAATGGAATTTCTATTTTTAGGTCCTTTAGACAGGAATTGCCACACTGTCTTCCACAATGGTTGAACTAATTTACACTCCCACCAACAGCGTAAAAGTGTTCCTATTTCTCCACATCCTCTCCAGCATCTGTTGTCTCCAGATTTTTTAATGATCGCCATTCTAACTGGCATGAGATGGTATCTCGATGTGGTTTTGATTTTCATTTCTGTAATGATCAGTGTTGATGAGCATCTTTACATATGTTTGTTGGCCGCATATTTGTCTTCTTTTGAAAAGTGTCTGTTCATGTCCTTCACCCACTTTTGAATGGGCTTGTTTGGTTTTTTTTTTTGTAAATCTGCTTTAGTTCTTTGTATATTCTGGATGTTAGCCCTTTGTCTGATGGGTAGATTGCAAAATTTTTTTCCCATTCTGTTGGTTGCCAGTTTACTCTAATGATTGTTTCTTTTGCTGTGCAGAACCTTAAGTTTAACTAGATTGCACTTGTCTATTTTGGATTTTGTTGCCATTGCTTTTGGTGGTTTAGTCATAAAGTCCTTGTCTGTACTTATGTCCTGAATGGTGTAGCCTAGGTTTTCTTCTAGGGTTTTTATGGTGTTAGTTCTTATGTTTAAATCTTATAATCCATTTAGAGTTAATTTTTGTATAAGATGTAAGGAAGGGGTCCAGTTTCAGCTTCCTGCATATGGCTAGCCAGTTTTCCCAACATTTATTCAACAGGGAATCCTTTCCCCATTGCTTGTTTTTGTCAGGTTTGTCAATGATCAAATGGTTGTAGATGTATGGCTTTGCTTTTGAAGCCTCTGTTCTGTTCCATTGGTCTGTATCTCTGTTGTGGTACCAGTACCATGCTGTTTTGATTACTGTAGCCTTGTAGTATAGTTTGAAGTCAGGTAACATGATGCCTCCAGCTTTGTTCTTTTTGCTTAGGATTGTCTTGGCTATGTGGGCTCTTTTTTGGTTCCATATGAAGTTTAAGATGGGTTTTTCCAGTTCTGTGAAGAAGGTCAATGGTAGCTTGATGGGAACAGCATCGAATCTATAAATTACTTTGGGTAGTATGGCCATTTTCACAATATTGATTCTTCCTAACCATGAGCATGGAATGTTTTTCCATCTGTTTGTGTCCTCTCTTATTTCCTTGATCAGTGGTTTGTAGCTCTCCTTGAAGAGGTCCTTTACATCCTTTGTTAGTTGCATTCCTAGGTATTTTATTCTCTTTGTAGCAATTGTAAATGGGAGTTTGCTAATGATTTGGCTCTCTGTTTGTCTGTTATTGATGTATAGGAATGCTTGTCATTTCTGCACATTGATTTTGTATCCTGAGACTTTGCTAAAGTTGCTTATCAGATTAAGGAAGTTTTGGGCTGGGACGATGGGGTCTTCTAAATATATGATATTGTCATCTGCAAATAGGGACAATTTGACTTCTTTACCTAATTGAATGTGTTTTATTTCTTCTTCTTGCCTGATTGCTCTGGCTAGAACTTCCAGTACCATATTGAATAGGAGTGGTGAGAGTCTACTGCCAGTTTTTAAAGGGAATGCTTCTAGTCTTTTCCCATTCAGTATGATATTGACTGTGGGTTTCTTGTAAATAGCTTTTATTGTTTTGAGATACGTTCCATCAATACCTAGTTTACTGAGAGATTTTAGCATAAAGAGCTGTTGAATTTTGTCAAAAGCCTTCTCTGCATCTATTGAGATAATCAAGTGGTTTTTGCCTTTGCTTCTGTTTATGTGGTGAATTACGTTTATAGACTTGCATATGTTGAACCAGCCTTGCATTCCTGGGATGAAGCCTACTTGATCATGGTGGATAAGCTTTTTGATGTGCTGTTGGATTTGGTTTGCCAGTATTTTACTGAAGATTTTTGCATCAATGTTCATCATAGATATCGGCCTGTAGTTTTCTTTCTCAGTTGTGTCTCTGCCGGATTTTGTATCAGGATGATGTTGGTCTCATAGAAAGAGTTAGGGAGGATTCCCTTTTTTTGTATTGTTTGGAATAGTTTCAACAGGAATGGTACCAGCTCCTCTATGTATGGCTGGTAGTTAGCTGTGAACCCATCTGGGCCTGGACTTTTTTTTGGTTGGTAGGCTATTAATTGCTGCCTTGACTTCAGACCTTGTTATTGGTCTATTCAGGGTTTCAACTTCTTCTTGGCTTAGTCTTGGGAGTGTGCACATGTCCAGGAATTATCATTTCTTCCACATTTACTGGTTCATGCTCATAGAGTTGTTTGTAGTAATCTCTGATGGTAGTTTGTATTTCCAAGGAATTGGTGGT